TCTTCTGTCGAAATACTTGTTTACAAACCATCGAAGCCAGCCGTCTTTTACAACCAGACTTCTCCGGAATTTAGCCATGTAGTTCACATTACTTAGCAGAACTGTAAATTTTGCTGTTAGTCTTGAAGTGAATCATTAAATTCGACCCATTTTCAAGGACAAAATACCGACAACATTAAACGGGGACCCAATAACCTAGTCCATAAAAATGAATCACCGCTTTAAATTTTTCATGACATTTGTTAAAATAAGATTGATTCATCCTTAAATTGAAAATGATCGTCTTAAAGTTGATTCAATTCCCTCCCAGTTGACCGAAAAAAGGTCCGTCAACCCACATTATTTAGTTAAAACTAAATTGTTGGCTTCATTTTTCTCGTTCAACGAATTTGAACGAAGCAAGTTAACCTAAAACTGCTTACTATGACGTCGGAAATCTACTGTTTAAAACCGTGTCAAAATGTGTATTCAACTTAATAAATAAGTACAGTGGCTATTTTTACTCGCCGTCATGTCAGATGAGCATCAGTTTTATGGTGTAACGACTGATTTCACTAGGATAAGTATGAACACTAAATATATTTGTCATAACCTAAACATCCCGCATGCCAATTTTTATACAAATCACACAATAATATAAAATAATAAAAATAATAAATGTTAAAACATGCAGTTGTGGCAAGGAAAAAAGTTTTTAACAGACAGAATTAAACTGATTCGAGATACAAAAAAATACAGTAAATTCCGTCGAAGCATGATTTTACCTTAGCGCTTTTTCATCGAGAAGTCAATTTTGACTCAGATCTCGTGGCAGCAAGGAACAGCAGCGCGAATTAGTTAGTCCGATTTGCATCCACGAAACCAAACGTCACAAAAAAACTGGCAAACGATTTTTCTTTTTTCAGCAAAGGGCTTGAGTTTTAAAAACTATTTTCAAAATTTCAACAGCATTTTTTGTTTGTCTTCTCAATATTTTTTCGAAGAAAGTGTGGAATATTTATGATGATGTGTTTTTTTATTCAGTCGATTTTCGATTTCTTAACTAAGCATTTTCGACGGAATCAAAGATATTGTTGTCCTGAGCTTAAATTTAAAAAGAAATTTCTCCTGTGATGTTTTGTTTTGTAATGTTACAGGGGTTCGAAAATAATACGCGTAATACGTGTAAGCGGCCAATGAATACGCGAAAGCGGCCTTATAATACGCTTAAGCCGCCAATGAATGCGTTCCAATTTGAATTTAGGCCAGCAATTTTATTTTAGCCTTTTTGAAACAATGATAGACGCCAAACACACCCTTTGTGTCTTACATATCATGTGGGGGAACGAAATGAAAAAAAAAAGTTTCTTCAATTATTTTGTCAATTATTCAACCAAAAAACTTTGTAATTGGCCTTAAAGTGAAATCGGAACATTCAAGGCATCGCCTTGACACACAAGCAATCTTGTTCTAGTTTTTAATTAGTTTGCTCTATATATTGCAACCAGTTGAGACAGAGTTCTGTAGGGTTTGAGAAACTGCAATTTGCTAATTTTCGAGGATTAAACTATGCGCGCTTTGTAATAAATATATATGGGAGCGGCGGTGAAGTGGTTACGTCTCCGTCTCTCAACCGAAAGGTCGAATGTTCGAGGCTCCTCATGATCCGTGCTCGTTGCTTTAGGGTGAGGCAACATTACCCAGCCCAAAAAACATCCAAAAAAAATTGCATGTAGTTCTTAAGCAGAGGAACAAGAAAGGTTAGCCGTGATGAGCTGTACAGTTCGTTGGTTAACCTTCCCTTTTATGGATAATCGTCGTAATCTTAATTTATGATACTGACAAGGTATGCGCAAATATCAAAATGTGGCCATTTATTCCACAGTCAAATTTACTCCAAATTGGTTTGAGACAAACTAACTGGTCATGAGAACCATCTTAGTTGCATGTGTGCCGCTTATTATAAGGCTATTAGCGCAATTAGAATTGAGTTTCTTTTCTCCCATTTGAATTTTAAACTCAAATTGAAGCGTGCCCCATCAGTAATTATTTTAAATGAGCAGGCCAAGAGGCTCGCATTCAGTTTGCTACGCCTCCATTAGTCATGTTATTATCCTATACGTCTCAAACTATAACGCAGATTTTTGATATGGGCTGTTGAGGTAGAACAAAAAAACAACTCGAGCGTCGAAGTTCAATTTCGATCCCCAAAATTCAAACAAAGTTACCAGAGGAATTCATCAACATTCCGACTGCCTTGTAACGTCTAATAAATAGCTTTGATCTAAAAAGTTGATGAAACTTTATTCACTGTTTAAACGTTTAGATAAAAACGCAACATTTTGCTCGTTAATTATCCCAAATTGGCAAACTTAGCAATTTTTAGCCCCCATAACTGTACGAAATGTAATTGAAAGTAAAATCTTTTTTAATGTTAAGCCGAGCGGATCAATATCTATCATACTGTATAATAAGTTCTCAAAAACCGCTAATTAATTGTCAAAACTTGTAAAAAAAAAATTTGTAAAATTTGCAAAAGTAAAACAGCCCAAACACATGGTCCAGTACACTCTTCAAAACACAAAAGATTCGGAAAATACAGCTTGTTTATTACCAGCGGCAAATTTAGAATTTCTTGAGGGTGAGGCGTTGAGTTTTATCTAATTTTAAAAATTTTGTCGACCTGTTTTCATACGCCGAGCAAATTCATTTTCCTAGCTCTCCCAAACCACAATATTATAAAGAACCTATGTTGAACAATTTTTTGAAAAAACAGGCCGAAAAGGGCGCTTTATGCCTTTTGGAATCTTTTGACCCAAAAATTTCGTGTTTTTTTCTCCGCGCGCTCACCCTTGTAATTATTATATAATGTCGCCAAAAGCACCTTTGGAAAAGTTTAGGGCCGTCCAGTCAAAAATGGATGCCTTGAAATAATACTAAAGGGGTTGACAGGGGATTTAACTTCCGAGGAGATGGCAATTCCCAACTCCTAAATCCACTCTTGTGTATGACTGTTATTCAGCCAAAAAGTAATTTAAGGATATAGAATTATAAAAATTGCAGGGGCCGATCTAAGATTTTCTTGAAGGGGGGATTTTAAAAAAATTTCCGAAAACTTTGTCGAACTTTTTATAGGTCGATCAAATTGATTTTCCGAGCTCTCGCCAAACTTTTACTTTATAGGGGACACTTTGGGTCGGCAGGGGGTCGAATCCCTGGGGGGGGGGAATCCCAGAGAGGGAACGTCCGTCATCCCCCCCCCTAAATCCGCCCTTGAAAAATAGTAAAATGTTTCCGAAACGACTGCCATTTTTTTTTTTACAAAAGTGAAAATGTGAAAACTTGACTACCTGATTAAATTTTGCCCGGTTTTTTTTGGGAAATGGCTATCAAACGGCGGCTAAGTTAAAGCGATACAGACTAGAAATAAATAATTCATCTCTGATCGCTGAATAACGTTGTAAATGTAGCTTGGGCAATCAATCACGGAGCAAAATCAATTAAACTCAATTGCCTCCGGAAAGTCTGACAGTTAGCAGTTATCATACAAGAAGATTCGGTTCAATAAATTCAGAATTGGACAATTTATACCAAGCATTTCGTTTCGCTTATCCACAATAATTGGGTCTCAAAATTACAAATAGGTAACAGACAAATTTGAGAGCAATGAAAACAGCCTTCGCATTTGTGTATTTGCGTTATTTTATTTTTCGAATCATCATTTTTTAAAGCTATTTGTAGGGACCGAAGTATCAGTCTTGTATCCTGATGGTTTGTTTCATCATGCGATAATTTTCTCCTCCAGCTTATTATATTTTAGCTTAACACTTGCAGAAAAAATGGCCCTTGTGAACAATCTCCCCCATAAAATTGAACCAAGTGACAAATTGAAGCAAGGATCAAATGACAATCTCCCCCTTAATCAGAACACCCTAAGAACTCCCCAAAACCCCCTAAATCAAAACTGACTAGTATTACTCCTAACCAAGTGAACGTTTTTTTCTTTCTAATTTGATATGGGGGGGGGGGGGGGGGAGATTGTTTAGTGGGTCCAAAATGATTTAAATATAGTTGGGGTTGGATGTCTATAAATTTCGTATTTTATAGCACTTACCCCTAAACAGTGGAAAAACTCGATCTATTATGACAGTGAAAATGAAGGAAGACGAATTCGACGCATCGGTTAAAAAAAAGGAAGGGGAATACAGGAAGAAGAAATTAAGTGAAATTTGAAGTTTCAATTTAACATTAACAACCAAGCTTCTAACAAAATGAAGAGTTTATAAATTTCTTATTATAAACAAATTTTTATTTCTTAGGTTTTTTTACAATTTCTAAAAGCATGATTGACCACTTTTTATTCTCGAATGACAAAAGCGGGATGGAAGAGCATAATTGAGATAAAAGAGATACTTATTCATTTAATTTTTACTAAGTCATGTCTGTTTGATATTTATGGCTAAGCATTTTTTTCATGTTCTTATGTCTTATCTATTGAAAAGGCTGTTAAAAGTTGAAAATTGACTGAATAAAAAACCACCCCAAGCATAAATCTTCCGCACTTTCTTGATAAGTCGGAACAAATACAGCCTCTTTGTTCAAACAAATTTGCAAAAAAATACAACTTAGTAATTATTACATTTTTGAGCCTCATACCATGTTGAACTTGATAATGAAAATGAAAATGAAAAGCTGGTATAAAAATTGTCAGAATTTGCAATTTTTTAAGCAACAAGGATAAGCGGATATTCAGTCCACTTTTTCTCGACACCAAAAAATTCTGAATCTACCCTAAATTTTTGAAAAGGGCTAAGCTAGGCTGATGATGACATTTTATTGGACCCCCGTCCGCGAGTTCTTTGATGAACAATTTTGAAAAAAAAACATGAAAAAAAAACATTTCATTACTAGCTATTCCCACTTCTGCAAATAATGAAATTTGTGTCTTATTTTGGCTTCATGAATCAAAAAGGATTGATTATATAAGCGGTTAAAGTTTCAAAAGTTAGAATCGAACTCACCTTTTTTGCACTCAGATGAGGCGCTAGAGCTAGATAAAGAAGTAAAAATAAACACCGTGGCAATCATTTTGGTTGTCTTTTAATTTTCTGCACTCAATGGGAAAAGGGGGAAAAGGAAAACTGGCGCATAACACACGTGAAAATGGTGGGATTTTAGGGACAAAGAAATTTATTGCGTTCACGTGTTTTTATGGCTACATGTATTAGGCGACACACACGCCATTAAAACTATATTGCTGATATATGTATTGCAAATACTGCGCTGAGCCTTCAAGGCATACAAAGGTATAAATGTGGATTACAACACACCACACGTATTAATAAAAGGAGAAAATTATGTGGTGGAGAATTTTACCAAGTAATTTAAAATGGGAATTTGCAGGGAAAAGAGTGAGGTTGAATCTAAATTCCAAGGAAAATGAAACAATGGTTCGAAAAGGAGCTTAGTTGAATTGCGAGTCCGGCTGAAGTTAGACCCAAATTAGAGCCAGACAGCAAGAACCCTTGAGGGAATAAACCGTGTTTATTGATTTTGCTAAGTAAGAAAAGCAGAAGCAGTTTTGCTGATTTTTTGATCGCGATATTTGACGGAGACAAAAACGCCTCGTCGGTTGTCAAAAGAAAAAACACCCCAAGAAAAACGGAGACTCTCTTACTCAGTAAATCGGCACCTTACCACCCGAAGAGTTCTCCCTTTGTTGTTCTGACTTTCGAAAAACACTCAACCCCAACTTTACAACTAACCAATTTTTGACGGTATTTTTTAATCATCTGAAAGCTATTGACGTTATAATCCCACATTTAAATATATAGTGTATGATCATGAAGTTATGGGGGTTTAAAGATTGCCAATTTAGCCAAATTGAGACAATTAATGTGCGATATACTTCGCGCTATTAACGCTTAAGGCTATTCAATCCGTCTTAGAAATAGTTCAAAATTGAATGGAGTCATGTTACTTAGTCTATTTGATACTTTGCTATATGCGAAAATTATCACTATAGACTTTAAATTGCGTGAAGGGGAATGATTTCAAAAAGTTTTCAAAATTAGCAAAATTTTGTAAAGCAAATACAAATCCATAGACCTTAAAAAAAGGTACATGATAATGTTTCGTACTATTAACGTGTGCACGGCTATTAAATCCGTGCATAAATGGTTAAATTGAAATGTGACAAGATGATTGGTGAAATTTATAAGTTTCTAGACGCTTAGAAGATCACTATGCTTTTGTGCATAAAGTGGGGGTAAGTTTTGACAAAAAAATTAAAGAAAAATTTTTTTCTTTTTTTTTGAAAATTGTATCAACTTTTTATTCAATTGAGGTTGTCAAAAATTGTTTCAAGAATTTTGATGGGCAGTAAAAAACATTTAGTTACAAGGCTTTTTGTTATTGTGGGCAGACGTTCGTTTTGTTGGTAACTTTTGGATAGATGTTTTCGCTAGTTGAGCTCGGAAAATAAATTTGACCGACATAAATAGAATAATAATTTTTTTAAACAAAAATCTTGGATTCCTTCGTATCTACGTATCTAAGCCCAACGATAATTTAAAAAAGTTCACGAAAATTGCGATTGAAAAATATGGCTTTTAAATAAGTTGGAAAATTTTTGTTGCTATTGATTATTAGAATTTTTAAGTGATTTTCAGTTCGATTACCAAAATTTGCCACTGAAACTAATCGACTAGCTTTTTAACTTTGAGTAAAAAAATCAAAAAATGTGCGAGACATGTGCTATTTCTTATAAACTTATGAAATCTTTGATAGAAAACATGGTGCACTTCCAAAAAAACCGTAAAAGATAAAAAAAATTCTTCTGATAGCTATTGTAAGTTATAGTGTGTTCTTTTTACCATCAATTTAAATTTATATACGGATTGCTTAAGGTGGAAAGTGAAATGGTTTTGGAAAAGAAAGTGGAAAGGAAATTCAAATTGAAATTATTTCTAAGCTGTATTTAATGAGCTTTTTCGTTTTAGAAACTCAATTTATCTTACATTCGGTATCCCAAGTTGGTCATTTTAGCAATTTTCAAGTCTAAGTACATAAAAAAAACTGAATTTACTTTTCAATTTTTAAATTCAATAGGATGCCTTAAAACTAATTGTCAGAAGCAAAAGTTAAAAAATTTACCAAAAAAAAAGAATAAATGGTTTCCGATGCCTTAAATGATCGAGATAGTTTGTATCATATAATTTACATAATATCTGACAGTTGTGCAGACCGAAATCAGTAAATTTTGCTGCATTTTTTGAAGCCTAAATTTTGTTTTAAGAGTTGTAGCAAAGTTTTGTTCCTTTCCTAAAATGATTTCGTTGATAGTGAATCATTTTTTGTTTCTGACCATTAACATAATGTTTACCATTAACAAACTGACTATTATACAAAATGTTTCAGGATTGTTCGATATGTATTTTCTTCCCAAAATCATAAATTGGAATTAACATTGCCAAGGTTTTTATTATTTTGTTGCTATCATTAATTTCATCAATTGTTTTTCCGAACTTGCTAGAAACTTGTAAGTTTTTGCCCTATTTTGAAATTTTGGCTGAAAATTTCCCAAACAAATCCTGGCTAAATACACATTGAACGGGAATTGAACACTGAACTTTGGAAAATTCCGTCCTAAGCTAGCCATAGTAAGACTACATTTGTATCAGGGCGAGGTCTTGAATGTTCCAATTGCTCTGTAAGCGGTCAGAAAAATTTTTGTACGGTAAACTTGGAACAGTTTTTTTTTGAAAAGCGAGCGACATTATGAAGAAATTCATATGATGAAATAGTCGTATTCAATTAGCTCTCTTCATTCCATTTTAGATTAGTTTTGAGTGTGGGATAAATCAATCCAGATTGTGCAGATCGAATTAAAGGTTGAGCTACATTTATCAATCTAACAAAAAAAACCGCTCACAACCTATTCAAAAAACCCCGGAACTTCGACAGTTTTGCGTCAATTACGAGTAGTTTTTAAAAGGTACAAAACAATATTTAATAGATACAAAACGTACAAGTCAATAATTTTGTTCCAAGTGGTTGGGGTACAAAAACTTCGATAAAAATAATGTTGATTAATGAAAACAAAAAACAAAATAGTTTATCTGTGATCAACAAAAAAATACAACGAAACCATATTTTTTTCTTTCTTCAAATTTAGATGAAAAGTCTTGCTGGAAAAATGACACCAAACTAATTGAACGGTAATTGTAAGGCAAAAAATGTAAGGCAAACTTCATGTAGCAATTATCTTTTTGGAATATTTTTTCTAGAGATAAAATATGCTTTAGGTGTTTTTGTTACTAAAAGAATTATGGAGTGTGTTTTTTTCAGCCAGTTTTCTCTATCTGAAAAAGTTTTATTATACGTCAGTATTTGAATTTAAATCAAAACTAAAAAGTTGGCTATGCGTAGAGAAAAAAGTTTGGTTTGTAGGTTTCTTCAAAAAAAATTGATCGGAACAGTCTAAAATTCTCATATTCGTTTAATCGCCAACATTGTTCACTTAGTCATGAAACTTTCAATACATTCCAGACGATTCCAAAGAACCGACAAAAATTATGGTTCGATTTTCTATTTTTTTTTAAAAACTGGCCACAACATCTGAGCTAATTGTAAAGCAACCGTTTTTTTTCTTGTTTCAGTTCTAAAATCAGGGTAAAGTGGCTGTTCTTTTCCCCAATCATATCGTCTAATTTTTCAAAGATAACCTCTTGTTATACAACTCCAATTTCTCTTGTCTGATAGTACACTACTGGACAAAGTTGTGCGCAAATTCAGGTTTTTTTTCTTTAAAAAACGTAAATTTAAGGACCATCTTTGACAAAATTTAGTTTGAGTCTTAACAAAGTATTCACATTGACCGACAGCAATTGATCTGAACTACCCTCTCTTAAATTGTCATCTGTTAATTTGAAGCGCCTACTAGTTTTTTCCGGGTCTGAAAATGCCAGTTTTCATCATCTGCACTAAGTTTTGCATCGTAGTTAAATTTTTCTTTAATAAACAGAGTAAAAAGAATTGTTCATGCAACGTAAACTATTCTTAGCGAGAAAATGGAAACAGTAAGTGTGAAAATGTTGCCAAACGTGGACGTGTTTTTAATTTTTTCACAATAAGTAAAATTTTTTAGTGAAAATGAGGAAAACTGGCATTTTCAGACCCGGCTTACACTGATGAGTAATCAATTTTTGGTCAAGAAAGTGGAAACGTACTTATGCGGGGTCGAACAAACATGTCTTCAAATTTTGAGAAGTGTCAGTTGTGAAAGTTGAGACAGTCGAAACATATCAATGCTTGGTCGAAAAATATATTGGAGAATGTCGAAAAATATCTCTGCGGGGCGAACAAACAAAATTTTAAGAAAGGTTGGTCGAGAAAGTCGAAAAAGTTCGAATTTCTGCCGATAAAGTCAAAACATATCTGAACTGGGTCGAACAAAGTAGAACAGTTTATTGTTGGGTCTAGAAAGCCGGGACATACCAAAATTTGGCCGAGAACGTCGAAACCTACCGAAATTCGATTGAAAAAGTTGGAACATACCGAACTTTGGTCGAGAAAGTCAATACATAAATCATGCACCTGGAATCGGGTAGTGAACTCTTTCTCAAATACTCAAAAAAAATTTGTTGATGCGAGGTGAAACATGCTCAGCAAGAAAGTTAAAATAATCAGTGTGACAACTTGACTAAATTCAGCTGTTCCTTACTTTTTCATGTGCTTTGAAAAACTTATCGCAGATGATGAAAAATTGCATTTTAATACCCAGAAAAAACTGGTAAAAGCTTCAAATTAAAAATTGAATTTTTAAGAGAGGGTAGTTCAGATCAATTGCTATTGGCCGATGTAAAAAAGTTGTTAAAACTCTAAATAAATATTTAAAAACAGGCACGTAGATATTAAAAACCTAATTATTAAATTATTAGTTTTTCCACTTGTTTATTTTTCAGATGTTATCAATTTTTTGATCACATAATTTTCAAATTAAACTCCTAGAGGAATTAAACACTTTGTAAGAATTGTTTTACAAGCTTATCTAACCCTACGACGTGTCTGATCTACAGAAGTACACTAGTAGACAAAATTAAGCGCAAACTCAGGTTTTTACTCTCTGAAAAGCTAGTTTTCAATATTGATTTTGGACAAAATTTCTTAGCAAATGATCAGAAAAGACTAAAAGCAAATGATCAGAGTTACTCTTCCATGAAATTATCACTTTTTTGTTTTCGCAAACTTAACAAAGAAATCCGGGTCTGAAAAAGCCAGTTTTCCTTGTCTGCAATAAGTTT